CCAACGAGGGTCCCCTAGCGCCGGTGACCCTCGCCGGACTTGGTAGAAAAAAAAGAAAAAGATTGAAAGAAAAAGGAAAAGAATTTAATTTTTTTTTATAAAAATCGTCCACGTCAGTGTCATCCGTCCTACGTGGCACTACCGGCGTCCACATCCGGCAATTTCCGACTAAAAATTGGCCAAATCAGCTTAATTGGCAAAACGCGAAAATGTTTAGAACTTAATCAGCACAATTGAAAAATTTCTGACTGAATTGGCACAAACGTAATAACTTTAGGACTGTTTTTCTGGGTAATTTTCCCCCTTCAACTAGCTATCCAAAAAGTTACGAAATTCATTCAAAATCAAAGCGGACACAATGGTGAGTAAAACTAACTTTGTACGGGTGCAGTAACTTCTCGACTGCTCCAGTACCCAGAAGACTGTACAGTCCGTTCTGATTGAGACAGTGGGGAAGACCGAAGACTAGGAATTGAATGGGAAATGGCATGAAATCACTTTATCGATTGAAGGCCACGGGCCAATTGCTGCAATTTTCCTGAATTCGGGTGCCACAGATTCATTAATTCGGGTCAGTGGATCGTTCTCGAGTGGATTATCATGTCAGGCGGATCTATGTACTCGGATCTAACGTGTTAGTACCTACACGCCTTGCACTCTTAATTAGATCTCTGTGCGATGGACAACTTTTAATAATATTTTTAATATTTTTCGATTTTCTTTTCTTTTCTTTCCCTTTCTTCACGACCACGCGTGGGGGACCTAGTCGGCCCTAGCCTCCATCCGATCACCGGTTCGGGGGCCGGCCAGAGTAAGATGAAAGGGAAAGAAAAAGAAAAAAATTTTAAAAAGAAAAAATAAAATAAAATAAAAAACAAAAATTCAAAAAATATTAAAATATTTTTAAAAGTTATCCACGTCATCGCCGGCGGTGCCACGTAAGCCGAACGGTGTCCACGTCAGCAAAATCGGGCCAAAATTAGTTAAAAGGACTGAATTAGCATAAAGACAAAAGGTTTAGGACTGAATTGGCACAAAAAAAAAGGTTTATGATTAAATTGCACAACGATAAGTTTACGACTTTTCGACACTTTTTCCTCAATTTCTCTATGTATCTTTTGTCTTTCTTAGAAAAATGAAATACCCTTTGAAAGTTTTACATCCCGGTGATCTCTAAGTCAGAAAGAAAATCGAGATGAAATCTTTAAGGACTTGCTTAGGTCCACATCTATCAATTGAAGGCCATGGGTCAATTGCTGCAATTTCCTGAATTCGAGCGCCAGAGAAACAATAATTCGGGTTGGTGGATCGTTCTTGGGTGAGATTATCATGTCCGGCGGATCGTTGTACCCGGATCTAAAGTGATGGAGGCCCAACATGCACCAGTTCAGAGCAAATGACAGAGAAAACAAGAAGAACAAGAAATCATTTAAATGCGATGGAGGAGTCATAAAAAGATCAGTGTGGCATCTCTTTCTTTCCCTCAACCGGCTCCATTGATCGAACCGCCCAATTGATCTGGCCTAAATTTTTCGTTTTCAACTTAGACCAGTTCAAGATTTCGGGCCTCTTCTTCTGTTTCCTTTTTTCTCAGCTTGGTCCGGCTCAAAGTAAACTATGCTCGTCTCCGCATCAAGTTCAGAGCGGTTTTTACCCTGAAAACCAACCCGGTTTATTTGGTTCGTGAGTCGATCGAACCACGACTCAAACCAGGGATCCGAGTTCTTTTCTATCCATGTGCACATGCCCACCTCGGACAGGAACTGAACCGGCGATGCCGATTCTGAAAGGCTATTGGGTATCCTCCATGGACGCCGCTTTCACACGGTAGAATGAGATGAACACGACCAACTTGTAGCCATCGGAAATCGGCGTATGCAGAATTTCCGTCGGTATTTGTTTGGAATGAGTCGAATAGAGAGCGGAGGATGAGGAAAACATGAAGGCGTATCACGGGAACAAGATATGCACATCCGACTACGGAAGAAAGATACCACAATATCGGCTGAAAAGAGAGGATTACTAAGTTCAAATGTCCACATCGACATCTACAGGAAAAGCTCTTCTTTAAGAAGACCGGTTCCCGGCCCGAAATCAACCTGATTTATCATGTTCCCGAGTCAATCCAATGGCGACTCATACCGGGGACCGAACTTCTTTTTTCCCCATTAACATGCACACCAAGGACATGGAGCTAAACCAGTGCCGGTTCCAAAAGGCTATTTGGATATCCTTGATGAACACGACCAACCGATAGTCATAGGGAACCGACATATGCGGAATTTCCATCAGAATTTGTTGGCGATGAGTCAAATAGAGAGCGCAGTGGGGAGAGGAAAACATAAAGGTGTACAACAAGAACAAGATATGCACGTCCGACTACGGAAGAAAGATACTATCTCAGAATTCCACTCGTCGAACATGGTTCTTGGTCCAAGATCCTTAAACTACTGCAACTGATATTGGCCAAAAAGAGTGAATGATGCAAACTGGGCTCTTTGTCACTACTCGTCCGTTCTGTCAGGTAACCACCGTTCTTCAGTAGGAGAACTGATAACTCTATCAGAAGATATCCTCAGCAAGAAGGTAGAATTACTCGGCCATCCCAATCTTCAGTCGTGTCAAGAACAAATCAGAACCCATTGCTTCTCGTAGATAGATTACAGACTGACTCGAAACGCCACCTTTGCGGACAAAAGAATGTTGGAGCGCAATTGATTCAGAGCGAGCTGAATTGCTCAATTACAACATTTGATGGCCAAAAACAAGAACATTGAACCGGCAACATTGATCAAGAAGAGACATGTTATGCCGAAGCTGTACGTTTTTCCATCAAAGGAAACTTGAAAGGCAGTGTTGTGTTTGAATATAGTCATGGAGGCACTGGAAGGCAATTCTATAAAAAAAACTATGGTTACAAGACTCGGGCCTCAAAGAAAAATGGTCTTACCATCTTCGCAACCAGTACAGTCTTTCAAACTTTACATAAAAGTAAATTTAACAAATGAACAGCTGCATTCAAACTGCCTGTTAGCTACTCACTGCACTTATGACCAGGAACTGTATCATTGCTTCTACCTGGAAGAAGAACGTCAAATAGTAGGTTCGATATTCTGCTAGATGTCTTATTTGAAGATAGTACATGTTCAATCAACCAAAATACGAGCTCCCCGGACCTGCCTGACGAAGCAGCATTCGTAACTTGGGATAAGGCACCCTGCAGATGACTCAAGAATGGTGAAGGCATGATCAGTTTCAGAGAACCTAAAGCTGCAGACAAGCCATTTGGAGGGAAAACCATACCATCTCAAAAGTGATTTCAGTCAAATTGTACCAGTGCTTTTGAAAGGTAAACAACCGGATATTGTTCAAGAATGCATAAAAGGATCATGCTTAAGAGATAGGATGCAGATTATATATGCTTTCTATAACACAAGGATACATGCAACTTTTAACTAATTGGACAAGTGAATAGCTCGAAACAAGAATTCAACAGGTGACGCCTACATGTTGTGGACGCAGCAGCGTGCACAGTTAGAAAAGAAGGAAAAGACCGTCGACAGAAATAAAAACCCCATAGAAGTTTCACATAATAGAAAAGAAGATTCTCTTTAGCAGGTAATACAAAGCACATACCCCAGCTTCTTCCAACAATCAACATGATGAAGATTACCCAAGGAGTTCACTTAATCTTTCTTCCATTCACTCCTCTAAATGACACTGAAATGAGATGATTGACTACATGTTCAATCTGACGAGAAGGAAGAACATCAAAAACATAAAACTTCTGACAAGAATAGTCATGCGTGACAAGATTTCAACTATTCCACTGAGTTCCTAAACGCACTGAACATCCCAGGAAGATCAAGTTATTAGTTGCAGTTGAAAGAAAGTATGCATGTAATACTTCCGACAAACATCATTCTTAGCCCTGGAACGTGTAACAGCACAAGGCTTATCATCACAAACTTGGATCACTGAAGCAAATATACTCAAAGGAGGTAAGATTGGCACTAAATTCGTGATTTCTAGGATAAAGTCTTACTTTAAAAGCTTCACAATAGCCTTTCTTAAGGCAATATCCAATAAGAGCATGCTATGCAAAGATGATTAACAAAAGACAAGGCCAATCTCTTCATTATGCTGGATTATATTTGCCAAGACCGGTTTTGAGTCATGGCCAAAATATGTAGCTCTATCTAGAGTTACTGTGCTATAACAACCAAGGAACCCAATCCGTGAAAATGATAATAGAGTCGCCAGCAACACGGAAATACAGTGAACCATGAGGCCTTCAACAGTCTTCCCTGTGTCAGTTTCTCAACTTACATTTCTCGCTTCACTTTTAAAGTAGTTCTTGTTGCATCTTCATACTCTCAGAGAACTCCTTTTCCATGATTAAGTCACTGGAATCGTATTTCCTGCTCCTCTCTATGTCCCAATTTCAATCTACTGAAGAAAGAGAACAAAAATGACCTAAAATGTAAAAGGAAACAATATCTACTGCTTGATGTCATTGTTGCATTTCTTTTGTTACTTTCGTTTCTCCAATAAATAGAACATTTCCGCTAAAACAACAAAATCCTATGCGCAGCACAGGCAATATAACTAGCTTCTCCATATAAATTAATGAGCATATAACTCTTCAGCTTCCTAACACAAAACACTAATAGTCCTTGATCCTGAAGATCAGAAGTGGGTCACTGGACTGCCCCATGATCTTAGTGTCTGCAATCCACACTCATATATTCACATGGCCGAATGTCGCAACCATCCTCTAAAGTACTGGCTAAAACTCGATTCTTTAGCTTACAGTTCCCCATGAAACTCTAGTAAATGGAAGCGATCTTTCTAAAAGCAAAATTCCTGGCTATGAAAGAATTGAATCGAGTGAAAAACTCTGCCAAGTTTTCTAAAATTACACTGGCTAACCTTTGTAAAACAAACATAGACTCAAGCACCATTTTGTGTCAAATGAGCAGTACAGAAGATGCACATACCCAATGCTAAGCTATGCTACTGCTGCCTGCAGAAGGCACAAGAATCCTCCGCGCAGGCCGGGACGGCTTCTTCACATAAGAAGAATTCCACTCCCCACCGTCCTGGGCATAATAATCCATCGGGTAATCTCCAATATCGTCACACTTCGAAGCTCCACTACTCCCGCATTCGCATCCTGAGTCGCCCTTGCCACAACCGGAATCAGCTACGCAACCTGAACTCGTCTTCAAATTTCTCTCCCACCAACCAGAAACGAACCCAAGAGCAATCTCCGCCTCGAAGGGTGTCAATACCGGCTTATGAAATGCATCGCCCCAGTCGATGGAAAGCCTCGGACAGGCAATCTGAATCCAAGCATCCACAGAATCCTCGAACAGGGCGATCCTCCCAGGAGTGATCTCAGACATCAAAACCACCATGTAATCAAAGCCCTTTTCCCTCATCTTCTTCTCCAACCTCTCTAGAATCCTCGGATTACCTTGCCTCCCTAGCGTCCCCAACACGACTCCCCAACTCCTAGCGCGCTCCCTCGCCTTCAATATCGCGTTCCGCCTCGATTCCCTCATCCCCTTTTGATCATACTCCTCAAGAAACAACTTCCCCATGTAGGGATCGTATCGGAAGGTCTTAATCTCCGGATTCGCAATCATAAAAGCCTCCAAGTGAAACCTCCCATCCGCTACAAACACCGCAAGTTGCGTCCCCTCGTTCGAGTGAGAACGGACTCTCGGCGCGGTGCACCCAAGAACCTCACCCGCCGACAGCGGCTTCGCCTGCGGCACCAAAACCCTAAACCCGCAGCTCTCAAGCTCGGGCTTCGCCGCGCGAATCGCGCCGGCGAACTGAATCGTGCCGGCGAGCACGACGTCCGAGCACTCCCCGCCCAAATTCAGCTTCAGGGTTTCCACGAGATGGCCCACATCGATCCGAATCTCGACGAACACGTAGAGGCAAGGTATGGTGGTGGTGTCGACGGGGACGAGGCAGCTGTGGCCGTAGTGGATGAGGAGGTCGGCGCCGAGGGCGAGGGCGGAGAGGTCGTCGACGCAGCAGGCGCCGTAGGTGACGTCGCCGAGGACGAAGCAGTGCTCGACGGCGGCGAAGGCGGCGAAGACGTCGGAGAGGAGAAGGGAGTACATGAGGAGGCCCTCGGGGAGCTGGAGGGCCACGCGCTTGGCGCCGGCGGCGAGGATGCGGGCGACGCACTTGTGGACCTCGAAGCTGTAGTTCGCCGGGAGGAGGGCGATGGCGGCGTTGAGGGCGGCGTTGTTGAGGATGGAGTCCGGGATCTGGGACTTCGTGAACCGCTTCGGCGGCGGCCTGGCCGGCCTCACCGCCGCCGCTCCGTCGCCGCCGATGGCGCCGCCTCCGCCCGCGGCCGTGGCCATCTCTGTCGGTTCAGTCTCGGAGCGGAGATCGAATTCTTAGAAGAAGTCCTAATGAAAATAAACTTGTAATTTTCTTTTGGATTATATAATTCGAAGAGGTCTAAAACTCTTCCGATATACGAACATTTCCAACATTTTTTTTAATTAATCACGATTATTTCCAAGATATCAATCGAAAATTTCCTTGAAAAACCTAATTATTTCTTTAAAAAAAATGGCGGACCCTTGATAATTGTTCGAACTAAAAAAAATTAACCGCATGAAAATCGTTCGAATTAATTATTTTTCGCGGCATGCATCAATCTATTTAATTGTTATTTAATCAATCTTTTCATGAATTTGAAAATATATTTTTTCAAACAAATTTCCCTAAAAGATATTTCACTTTCAACGAAGTGCATTCTTAAAAAAAAATTTGATCATGCACTCTTAACATTGGGGGTATTCTTTTTTTTTGAATATATTCATTAAAAGTCCTAAAACTTGTTGCAAAAATACAATGAAGTCTCTAAAACTTTTAAAAATACAATCAAATTCTAAAACTCATTAATTTTTTTCTTTCATGGCCAAAGTGTTAACACAAAAGTGATGCTTTGCATGAACAATGCATCCATGTTTGATTACTATTATTAAAAAAATGATATAATTATCAATCTAATGTGCAAGAAAACTTCAAAAAGCTTCTTCTTATTTCGAAATTGGAACATGCCAATTTTTTTGATAAAATAATTAAATTATAAAAGGATGCATATGTCCTCAGTTACAACAACACCAAAAATTAAGAAAATGCATTGCAGTGTTTTAATTTCGATCTCTATATATGATATTTCAACTTTGCAAATTTCGTAATGTAAATTTTGCCTCCATTAAATTATCCATGGTTAAGTATACTGTAATTTTATTACCAAAAATGAGGCTTGCTTGTGCATTAATTCATACACCGCTTATGAATACAAAATAGACTTGAGGGGAATGGCTATGATAGAATTTAGGGGCATGCCTATGAGAAATCGATCAATCTCGCTCGATGTAATCAAAGTTTGTAATTCCTATATAGTAATGTAAAGCTTCGTGGTGCAAAATTAAAAGTTATTGAAATGCTACCTTGCCGGTTTCGCCGATCTTATTAAAGCTATTAATCAGGTTCATTTCTGCGCATGGACATGAACGCATAAGAGCTTTTTGGTTCTCTCCTCCAGAGGGAAAAGTTCTTAAAAAAAAATCCTAAATCTATCACATTAAAATCAATTAAGTTCTAGACCTTTCAATTTGATTAATTTAATCATAAAAATTTTCATATTGGTACCAATTTAGTTCATCCGATCAATTTAGGCCGGAAATCGCCGATGTGAACGCTGACTATCCTATGTGGCATGACCAACGCTAACATGGACATTTTAAAATAATGTTATAATAATTTTTTGAATTTTTATAGGAAAAGTGTCAGAAAAGTCCTAAACCTTTTGCATTTATGCCAATTGAGTCATAAACCTTTTTTTGGTGTTAATTTAGTCCTAAACCTTTTGATATAGTGTAAAAATAGTCTTCTAACTAATTTTGGCCAGATATTGCTGACGGTGCTGACGTGGACAATTTTTTAATAATATTTTAATATTTTTTTAAATTATTTTTATTTATTTTATTTTTCTTTTTTTTCCTCCCCTCCTCCTTCCTTCCTGGGTTAACGACGCAAGTAGTGCATGTAGGTCGGCTTGCCGGCCCACATAAGCAAAATCCGATCAAAATAAGCCGGAATGACTGACTGGCACTATATCAAAATGTTTAGGACTAAATTAGCACCAAAAAAGATTTAGAATTAAATTAGCACGGTTTAAAACTTTTCTGACACTTTTCCCGAATTTTTATAATTATTATTGTTATTTCTTTTCCTTTTTTATTATTTTTTTTTCTTTTCTATTTTTTTTTCCTTCATTTTGGCTAGCAACGGCCTTCACAAACTCACTTGCAGTCGGCGAGCAGTCGCCAACATACCCTGGCTTCATCATCTACCTGGTCGAGCTTCCCTTAAGAGGTCGACGTCGTAACAACCTAACGTTCTTGTTCGTGGTTGTGAGATTTGTGACCGTTAGATTTTGTTGCCTTCGATGGTTCATCGTTGATGTGATTTGAGAGGAGTCTGAGAATTAAACAGGACTTACACAATGACGCTCTCGTGATTTCGACCGTGATCATCTCCACATATTTGTTGATGTGCAGCTTGATGTTGGAGCCTTTTCCGCTTTTATAAGCTGTTTGGTTTTATTCTGAATTCGTCATGTTTCTGTGAAATTTATTCAATCTTGATGGGAGTTTCAGTGCTTTCTGTTTCCTGATACGCTGTTTCTCAGGAATCGACGGCACAGGAGCTGGGCTTACTTTGCAGTACAAAAAGCTCGGAAAGTAAGCATGCCTACCCTTCCTCGATTATTCAATCTTCCAATTCAGCACCGAAATTTCAGCATCTAATTATGCTTATTGCCGAAATGCATCAATCATCTCTACACTATGCTTTCGCGCACTCTGCTTTTGAGCGCCCACCTGAACATTATAAGGAAACGAAAGGGGGCGGAAAAGCAATAGCAGTGCCTGGCAACATAGGGCAGCTAGCTTGTTTATGAACATACGACCTCAATTCCCTTCCAACTAGATCAATTATGTTTGAAATTTTAGAATGTAAGTACGTCATATTGAAGCAGAGTGTATTCCGTTAAGTTGGATTTGCACAGTACATGAAATCTAACAGTTGAGGTCTAGAGAACGTAAGTAGAGAGAAAAATCTTACTGAAGAAACTTTTTGAGACATGTCCCCTCCTTAAGCCAAGAAGCAATGGGATAAAGTTTGATGCGTATCTACAGTTACATCATCATGTTCGATGTAGCGACTACTTACTAATCTTAGATGAGCACCGTATTAATTGTATATTGAAAGCCTCTGGACATGTTTGCATTCCGACTAATCGAAAGCAAGTGTTATTGGAGATTTCGACTTCAAAAACTACTGAATTACCGAGGATAGCCTAGGCATGGTTGCCCGTTAATGCCCATGGGTGCCACATTTGCATATTTAGCGAACCTTTCTATTCAGCTTTTGCTTGCTGATGGTGAAAAGGGGGCACAGGCTGCTGTGTAAATGTGTTGGCCTGATGCTATTACTGAAATGCTTCTGAAGCTTGGCTATAGTTTGGGCACAGAAAAAGGGCTTCCTCCACAGCAAATGGTTGGAGAGCTATCAAAGGACATGTTCCCATCTTACATATCTATAAGCCAAACCGTGGCCGTTGTCTTCGTGAGACCAGCAATCTCTTTTGCAATTTATTTTCCTCGAATTCATGTAATGAGTACAACTCTTACCTATCACATATTCTTTGGACATGAACAGCAAGTTAGACTTGGCTCTGCACCTCCACTGTAATTTTTCACTTGGAAATAGATTTATGAAAAAATTTGCAGGTTCTTGCTGATATTCTTCCGAAAGAAACACTTCCCGTGGAAGCTTCAGATGCGTAAATCGGCTTCGGCATATACAAATTCACGCATTCATGCTGTCAATGCACAGAATCTACTTCTTACAATTAGACGCTGGGAGATCGGAGTTTATGATGGTTATGTAGATTTTGGCAAGACAGATATCCCCGACCAATCTTATTGCTATCTTACACATCTCCTGAAAAGCAAGGAGGTATATGGACGAGCCATCACATGTCAAACACATAACTCATTTACTTGAGTTCAGATATTAGATATAGAAAAAGGCAGTACAACTACTAGCGCAGATATTGACCCAATATCTTTAGCAAGCAAAGTCGAAGGCTACAGCTTTGTTCAGTGAAGAGGTCACTGTAATCCTTCATTTTCTTTGCCTGAACCACCTTGATTTTGTGAGGAGCGTGATGGTCACGTTTCCTTTCTTTTTTTTCCTTGGTATTAGGTGATCCATCTGCTTATGAGGTGCTTGGTCTTTGTTAAACTTCTTCTTTTCTTTTTTTCCTTGGTGTTAGGTGATCTATCTGCTTATAAGGTGTTTGGTCTCTGTTAAACTACTTCCTTATTTGGCCTTCCCTTTTGTTCCCTTTCTTCTACCTTTATTTCTGAAGATATACAAATTTCTTATTTAAAGTTATGATCGTTATGTATTTTTGTGAGGTAAATTAAGTTTAACTTTTTATTGAGATTTGTAATTCTAGTGGGAAGAATAAGCTATTGCCAAGTCAAGAAGAAGGTGGTAGACTAGACGATGCATGCAGAGAAGTGATGTCGATTGTGCCATTTCCTTTTCTTGGTAGGTTTCCCAGAGACTAGAATTACGCATGAACTTCTCATATGTGTTTATGATTTCAATAAAATGAGAAGAAAAATCACCCTCGAAAAAAAACAAAAGAAGTTTTAGTGTCGCCACAATCCTTTTTAACTTGTTTGTCATATCAAGTGAAAATGTCAAGAATAAGAGCTAATTTAGAAACCTAATGCTAGTCTTGAGTGCTCTTATTCCTGGTTGAATATACAATTTATGAACTTCCACTATCTACAATCTGAGTATTATGTTCTCCCTTGATGAAATTTTGCAGAGCCATCAATATTAAAATTACTTTGATTGATATTTCGAATAGATATTCTACGGTACATCACGAGATAATCATGCCGATTCCGTTCTGCTGACTGATAAATCTGTTAATACTAGTTTCACTTTTCCTTGAGGATCATCGATTATATAACATTCAAAATTATTTTGAGATATTCTATGTTGCTAATCACTAATCTTTAAGTGAAAAAATATTCGTACTTTCAATTAATAACATGGCTATCAACTCTAATACATGAGTATATGATTCCCCACGACCGCATACTACTTTTATTGTAACCCACGTTTTTTTGTTGGATGAATGTTGTCAATGCAAAATTATACTCGTGAAGCTATATACCCTACTCACACCTGCGCATCAAAAATATGATGCAATTTAACTTCATTGAAGAATTCCATTTTATTCTTTACATACAAGAAGATGATTTTGATTTGGTTAGAATTATGAAGGGCACTAG